AGGATTAAGATGTGAATTTGATTTGTGATCTGAACAAGAAGGTGACCTCCTTGATCTGAACAATTTATCCCTATTTGTCACCATAGAACCTTCTGATATTAAAGTATCACAATCACAAGAAACAATAGCAAATTGATACATTGTACATCTGAAAATGTGACTTTGCTGCAGCGTAAATGCTTATAGTTGAGATTAGTTGCGATTTAAACTGTTACGTGTTCCAACTAACTTTTTGGGGATATACATTTTGTACTTGTATGTCAACATACTTACTGCATAAAGTAATATCTTGTTCTCTTTGTCCTCTTTTGGGTACAGCATGTTGTTACTGAAAGTAAAAATACAGTGTATTTTATTTCAGTCAGTGGTCTTACGTAAATACGATAGTTATTTACCCGTGCTAGGTAAAGCGTTTCGTAATAATAGTAATTACCAATCTGTAGAAAATATGCATGAGAAGTTGTCCGTGGGGAGGGGGGCTGTACATAGCACTAACCATTCTTGGCAGAATCTGATTCCCACAAATCCAGGCCCTTCGTCGTGTCCGTAGTCCATTCTCACGTGTCCCAAGTGTCTGTACAATAAAAAGTGGTGTAAAATCAAAGACTATTATCGATGAGAAAATCCTACGAGCTGCTAGTGACAACTTTCGAGCACGATGCTTCTTCTGTCTAAACCAGAAGCTGTCTCGTCCTTGTCTCGTCAAATCTCGCTTTGGAGAGCGCTTGCATTTTCTTCTCGCGATATCACAGCAACAGCAGCATAACGAAAATTCGGAAAAATCAAATGAACTCTATGAGTTATTGATTTAGTCAATAGCTATTGACTAAAAAAATGATATTTTTGTCTAATGAATCGAATGATAATTTATGAACAACTTGTTCCTTTAGGAACATACAACTGTAATCTAATCGTTGTGATGCCACCGGAAGTAGTAGAACATTCTAGAACCTTCTGGAAGGTTCCAAAAACCGGAAACAGAAAGCCGGTATAAAAGCGTGGTCTGATTCATTTGGGAACATTTGTGGAGAAGCCTTAGCGACGTAACAGTCAGGTCCAAACTCTCTCCCTAGAAAACCAGAAAATCATCACCATGCCTGAGGAAACACAGACAGCCGAAGTTATGGACGACTCTGAGGTGGAGACCTTCGCTTTCCAGGCTGAGATCGCTCAGCTGATGTCTCTGATCATCAACACGTTCTACTCCAACAAGGAAATCTTCCTCAGGGAACTCATCTCCAACTCCTCTGATGCCCTCGACAAAATCAGGTAAAAGCTGTTTTTTTTTATGGTTATAAATTATATCTAGGTTTATCTTCCTCTGTTAAACCGTTTTACAGTAAAATTCAACCTAATTTCTACACAATGCGGTACAGACATGCTGATAATGCCATAATTTTGCCTGTTCCTTTGTCACATGTTCGCCGGACGCTTCTGTGATTAAGATATAACTATTGTTCGGGGATTCTTTTTTACCAGTACCGCGGCTTTCTCAAGCTTGAGAGATACTAGTACAGTATTACGTTTAGATACATGCTTTCAGGGATACGGTAAAACAGTTTCGAGAAGGATATTCGTCTGGGGCTGACGCCTCGCCATGTGCCGCGAGTTTCATTCCATTCATTTCCGGCGACCACGTGGTCCGAACGCGCGCAGCTGTCCATGGCGTGGAAGGGTCCAGATTCTCCAGAACCTTCGGGGTCCGCGCCCTTTGTTGGATCTCAATGAGCGATGAGTCTCATTTGCGGTGGTGTCAGGAACGTGGAACACGAAAGAAGAACTAATTACTTTCAATTTGAGTATTTGAATAAATCCAGAAATACACAGAAGCAAAAAGCACAATTTTATGGTCCTTTTATTTTATGTAGATGTACTTCTTTTCTATATTATAAAAGAAGTACCCCCGCAAGAAGTTCTTGGTGATGCTACGTAAAAGTTATATTTTACCTCCATGCTATAACCAAGGACATTACGTATAATGTCCTTGCTATAACTGAGTATTTTACAAAGATGTAAGTCTTGTATTATGCTCCTTTAGATATTTTTGAGGGCAGCCATGGTTTCATTCGATTTTTCCTGCACATATGTAGTTCTTACTGGGATTTTATGTTCATTGGTGTAGTTTTCTCCTGTTGAATTTGACTTCAATTTTGGATCATTAGAATTTAGATTTTAACTAGAAAGGCCAATATTTGCTTTGGAGCAAATACAGCGATGGGTTCACCACATTTTACGACATGGCAGGGAAAGAATGAGAAACACAAGGGAAAACAATGCTTTACATTGATATAACTAATATGAAGTAACATACAACTAAAACAACAGTTGGATAGCTATTCCCTACTTTATTGGTTAGGATTTTTAATTGCATAATGCAAATTGTTGATTTTCAAAATAAAAAAAAAACGTTCATGCCCCGCATTCCAATGCTGGAGCAGAAAAGCTTGAAATACCTACCAAAACACTTGAATAAAGACATACTGTCAGTATGGAAATGCTCTGTGCAGGTGTTAATCAAGTTAAATCCCAACAGCCAATCAGCAAGAAATGCTCTGTGCAGGTGGAAATGCTCTGTGCAGGTGTTAATCAAGTTAAATCCCAACAGCCAATCAGCAAGAAGTATAGAGGAAAGCTGCATGCCTATTGGTTGATGCCCT